ACCTGTATTAACACTATAAAGTCATCTTACAAATCCTAAAGAAGGACAAAATTTTAAAAATCCTTTTATGTAAGATAAAATGCCAAATAACCTATATCCACATAACCAATAAGTTGAACCCAGTTTGTTTGTCTCCAGTCATTTTGATTAGTAAGGCTTTTTGCATAGTAGAATTTAAAAGGGAAGTTAAGCATCCAGCACATTACAGCTCTCTGCATTGCATCCTCATCTTTGCCCAATCAGTTTCCTCCAAGAAACCCAAAATGAAGCTCCACAGCACTGAAGCACAGCACTATGTGAATATACTACCAGTGTTTCAAGATGGTGCCTTGAGTGGTGAACATTCTTTACCTGCTTCTTTGGAGGAATACTTGACTTCTAACTGATTGTAAGTTTGTGTGCTCAAAGAAGTTTCCTTTTGTTCCCTGGCTTATGTGAACATTCCCCCAGAGGAAATTGAGCTTTTCTAGACATCTTCTGAGCAAATACCAGCTACAGTCTGCATTCACCAAGGAGTGTCCTGAGAGTCCCATGCATGTCTCATGCTACTATTGTCTCCGCTTCCATACTGCATGAGTGTACTTGTCCTGAAAAAGCCTCATTGTGACGTTAATGACTGTTAACAACTTTCTTTAAAATCTGCTTATCTTCCTGGAAGAAGATTTCCCACTAATTTCATGCTGCAGAAGAGGTCTGGGTCAGAGTATTGGAGGTAGGTAGAGCTGAGTGTAGTTCAAGACAGAAAATGGTTAGATTTTGAATCCTCCCTTAACCTTGTAAATCTGCTAAATAAATTCCACTTTCTCATTTTTTAAGAGAGAAACTGAGTCATGATAGGGTAAAAGATTTCCTCAACTCTTCATAGATAATACTTAACAAAAAGAATGTTAAAACAAAGTGTTTTAGACATCAAAGACAATGTATTAATTTTAGTAAATTAACTTCAGGCTAGATATTCTTATCTTCAAAATGAGAACAAATACTACACCTTTTCTAACTTGATTAAGACAATAAGTGGTAAGAAATTGGTAACATGCATATAGGACTGGTCATACAATAGGTCAGCAACAAATGGCTCAATTACTCTATTTATTATTACTATACATCATTGAAAATTCTTGACTCATTTAAATTCTCTCCAAAAAAACAATATTTCTTTTTCCCCCACAGTTTTATTATAGTAAAATATGCAGAAAAAATTATCATATAAAGTTGTACAATTCAGTGATATGCAATATATCCCCATTGCTTTATAACCCTTACCATTATCCATCTCCAGAATTCATCTTTCCAAGCTGAACCTCTGCATCTATCTGTTTGAGTCAACTTTTTATTGCTGTGATCATAATGCCTGACAATAACCACTTGGAGGAGAAAAGTCTCTTGTTGGCTCACAGTTTCAGAGATTCAGTTCATGGTCAGCTGGCTCCATTGTTCTGGACTTGAGGTAAGGCAGATTATCACAGCAGAAAGAAATGGTGGAGGAAAACTGGTGAGTTTATGGTAGTCAGAAAGGGGGTGGAAGGGCAGGCAAGGAGCCAAGGACAAAACATAATCTCTAAAGGCATGCTGCCTGTGACCTACTTCTTGTAGCCACTCCCTTCCTGCCCAGTGAGCACCCAGTCTATTCAAATTATTAAGCCACCAAATGGATTAATTCACTGATAACATCACAGCTCTCACAATCTAATGTTTTCATCTCTGACCAGGGCTGCATTGCTAAACACATGCACTCTGTAGGGACACTGACTATTCCAAACCCTAACACCATCAGATCATAACTCTCCACACTCTTTCCCCCCTTCTCCAAATTGTCACCATTCAACTTCCCATCCTTATGATTTTGACTCCTCTAAACACTTTATATAAGTATAGTCAGTATTTCCTAAATAAGAGCTTTATGTAAAACCAAGGATCCTGAGAGACAAGGGCAAGTTGACCAATCCTCCAGAGCAGTGTGTGTGGGAAGAGAGTGCTAGGCCTGCCCTTTTACTGGGATCACACTTGGCCCTTCAAGTTGAAGGCACTTCTTCCCCTCGATACTGGTGAAGGATATGCTCTGAGACAGGCTTGAATTCTCGAAGGCCCTTTTGAAGAGTTGGAGCTCCTCAGAGGATACAGCTGAACTGGATTTACCTTTCTGACAAGTCAGTGCTGTCATTAACACTTATGTGTCCTCCCCAGAGATGGATTTTGCATACATGAACTTGGCTTTCAGCAAACTCCATGTGTTGGAGTCGGACTGAGCTGATCCACAGCCCTCCTGCAACCACAGTGCTTTTCAGCCTGGCCTCTGGCTGAGATAAGCACACACTGTGATATGATTTACCTGATCAGATTTTGGCTCAGGAAAATTCTTTCTTTTTGAACCATCATGAAAAGTAAAATATGATTGTATTTAATTTGACCTTGACTGAAAGTTTGTGTCCTCCACAAAATTAGTATGTTGGAATCTTAACCACTAGAGTCACACTATTGGAAGGTGGGAACTTAGTCTTGAAGGTAGAGCCTTTGTGAATGGTATTTGTGCCTTTTGAAAGCTTCCTCCTCTTGTTCCTACCACATGATGCAATGAGAAAGTGACTTTCTGCAACCCAGAATGGATGACTCCCTCATCTGACCCAGCTATACTGTCACCCTACACTTTCAGCTTCCAGAAATCTAAAAAAAAAAAGGTTTATTGTTTATAAGCCTGTCAGATTGTTGTAATTTTTTATAGAATCCAGAAATTAATACATAGTTTAAAATTTTGAATATTTTTAAATGGCTTTGCCCCCTCCCACATATTGTATGTTTATTTGTACTAAGAGCTACATTTTATCCTCTTTTATTTCATTGGCTTAAACCAAATACAGGTATTTAAAGAAGAATTCAATTCAACAGAGTTCTTTACATATTTTTCATTTTACTCTTTGATTATGTTTTATGGCTAGAGGTAGGAAGGGAAATTGATGTTTTTATTAAGCATATGAGTATTTCTTTAAAATATTTTGAGTGATGAAGAATTGAGCCTTGATGATCAGACAGGACCCATTCACATGCTGTCTTATTTACTTATTGCAAATATTTCTATTAAGAAAATCGATTTGATTCATTATTTAGAGTCATGTCTTCTCTTTCAGGGAGGACATCTCAAAGGCTTTCCATAGATCATCTGCAAATAATTTATTCAAGGTTACAAAGATAATTTATGACACGGACAGAACTAGAATTCAAAACCTATTCCCAACACAGGTTGCTTACAAATTGCTACCAAGCATGATATGTGTCATTTTCTTTCTACAAATTAGAGAATGGTAAATATCTAAGTTATGGCAGATAGCCTTGTGGAAGGCCCTAGTGACCAGGGACTTTACAAAGTGGTTTAAACAAAATAATTTGATCTTCAGAATCTATTAAGTTTGATGTAGTTTGGTTTCCCAATTTACATTTGAAAATCTAAGGATTTAAGTGGTTTATTTATTTCATGTCACAAAATTAGGGAACAGAATTCTTTGGAATTTGAGCCTGTTTTATCTTTCCCTAATGTCCATGCATTTCTCCTGCAGATCTGGGGTTTGGAGACTCATTTCCTGAAACTCTCAAGTCTCTCTATCTCTTTAGCTGACTCAAAATAATATTTCTTACCTACTCCTTCATTAAATAACTCTAACAAGGGTCATTAGTGTTTGAGGATTGCTAAAGTCAGTGGCATTTATCTATCCTCACCTGACTTAATTTCTCAGCATTTAATGACACTCGACTTTCTCCTGATGAAGCAGTTTCTTCTATGGTCTCCAGATTAATTGCTTTTTTTTTTCTCATTCCTCAATGAACATGTATAAGTCCCTTTGTCTGGCTTATCCTCCTCTAGCAAATCATATATCCTGGCTCTATTTTCATGTATTTGTACCCTACATGATCTCAACATGTCTTTCTCTCTCTCTCCTTCATACTCACATAGGCAGATATATATTTCTATACCTATCCATACACATTTTTGCCATGTGTCTCTGCAGATGAGACCTCTTCTCAGCTTCAGACATATTCTGAGCTGCCTGTCCAATATCTATACTTGACACCTAATTGGAATCTCAAATTTAAGAGAATCTCAAAATCAAATGATCCATTGTTCTAAATTCAGAGCTACCAGTCCCCAAAGCAAAACAAAAACTTTGCTCACATTCATTCATTGCATAAGCCGAATGTTTAATCTCTGATTCTTTCTTCTAACATTCCCTTTCAGTTCATCAGCAAGCCCTGTTGGTTCTTTCTGGTGCCATCTACCATTGTACTCTCAGCTACTATCTGCTTAGTCTAAGCTACTGTGGCTTCTCTCAGGTTTCTGAAAGGGCCTCTATTGGTTTGCACATTTTTCTCCTTCCCATTCCACCCTCGTCCTTTCTCCATTGAGTTGTTAGATGGATTTTTGGGCGTGTACACCTGATATTGTCAATACCTTGTTCAAAAACTCCTTTCAGTTTCTAGTTTCTGTATGTTAACTAATTATCCCATGTACAGAAGTCTTAAGAAGCACCACCCAAAGTAGGTTGTTTTTCATAGCCATTGGTTTGGAATTTCAAACACAGAATCATAACAAGAAGATACCAGCAACGTAACATAAGAAAATGCATCTGCTGTGAGGGGACACAAATGAGGCTTTAGCAGAGGCTTCGAGTTCCCTGTGGAATCCTGAAACCAGAATGGTTCCAGAACCCTGAACCTGACTTTTTACCAAATCAATGAGCTTGCTTTTGAACACTTTTGAGCCAGAGATGCAATCTAGGATAATTCAGTTGAGCAATGAGAGGACCCAGGACAGCACTTTTAGCTATGTAGAAATCAATAAAGCCAGAGAGTAGTTGTTTCATGTTTCTCCGGCAACCCCAAAGGTCATGTTGACGGGAAGTTAATGGTCCAAGGAATAAGAAGCTAATGATGGTCTAAGAAATGGGAGCTCAGGGATTAATTGCTTGACTCTTCATTAACCAAGAACAACACAGCAAGACACATTTGTCTTCCACACAAAATCATACAAAATTCTCTCTTTATTAAATATACATTATTTACAGTTTAAGTCTTTCTTCTGTACAACAATAACCATAGAAAACAAATAAATCTAAGGCTAACTTTTATTTTCCCCATACAGTGTATTAAGACATGTTACGTGGTCTACAAAACTGACTTGGAATGAGGCAACATCACTTGGGATTCTGTTATAGAAACAAAAATAAGAAGATCCAAAGGAAAGGAGAGTCTCCAGCAGATCCACAAAGGATATGACCTGTTTTGTGCTTTTACCATCACAAATAATCTGATATAGACATATCAGATATATATATATATATATATATATATATATATCAGATTATTTATGTCTTTTTTCACTTTAGTATTTACTTGTTAAAGGTAATTTCCCCTGCTCTTTCATTCTTCATATAAAGAGGGCCTGAACATGTCAGAGGAGGACTAATTTCCCATTTGAAATGGGAACTGTAATGTTCTACCTTAGGGATTGGGAAATTACATTTCATGAACCGAATCTGAATTGTTGCCTGATTTTATTAATAAAGTTTTATTGGAAAATGGCCATGAATATCCATTTACAAATGGCCACCTTTTGACAAAAAGAAGTGTCTGCTCAAGACAACACAGGATATCAAGAGGCCTGTCAACTGCCAGATTCAGGAAAAAATTCATGGTCTTGGTCCTCACCAAATACAAAATCCCTCTTACAATGTAACTATGCTACTTTAAGCAACATTTGGTATTTTTTGCAAGAGTTTTTAAGGCAGGACAATGTTACTCTGGTTGATTCTGCCATTCAACGTGAAGAGACTATGCTAACATTTCATGAAAAACCTTTGGGATTGGAGTTGACTATAATGAAAAAGTATGAATAGGCAGATGCCTATTAATATTATCCTGTAAAGTTGCATGTGAATTCGTTACCTGTGGGGAGACTTTTCAAAGAGTCTGAAAAGTAATGCAATGCATCTTCTGCATACCCAGTGCCTTTTTTCATGTTATCTGATGCTACTGTTTGCATTTGAGGCATGGGAGAATATGATGCTAATGACATAAGACCAGGCTGTCACCACTAACACAGTTAGCTTCACCTTTGGTCTTGACTTAGGACTAGTCCCCTAAATTTACCCTGCTCTTCTGTAAAGCATTTCCCTGTGTCACTGGGGAGAATTGAGAGAAACAGTGTTAAATGAAATATATTGACAGTGATTAGTATTGGGAGATAGTGTTAGATGGTGACTCCAGTGTGCACTGTCAGGGCTGGAGACTATTTTAGCTTCTTACCATATGACATGTCTATGGACGGCAGGACCAGGGAAGGAGGAAGAAAGACCACGAGACACACTAAAGGATCTCAGGACTTCCGCTGATGAAGGCTCTATTTAGGACAGTGGACTTGACCTAGGGTGTTTTTTTATTAGTTCGTTTTCCTTAAAGCTTTATCTGGGTGCTTAACTTGGGCAGGTTAAGTAGCTGTGGTGATAGTTCTAAAGCACCCTGGGCAAATCTCAATGAAATAAAATCTTAGAAAATAATGTAGACACAGTACTGGTGGGAAGGGTCAAAAAAATTTCATGCAAAGTTAAGTAGAGAATTCATCATGCAAAGCCTGTGATATTGCCTCTTCCCTAATGTGTAAGACAAGGATCCAAATGCACTAAAGAGATGCCTGAGTTAGGAGCTAGAAAGTGGAGGAACTGTCACTGATTCTTGATAGAAGCAATGACATTCCTCACCTCCAAAAGCCACCAACCCCTGCCACAAATCCCTTCTTCCTTCTTGATACATCCCCAGCAGGCTTGGTCAAAACACCAAAACTAACGTTTGCCCTACACTTTGTAGCTCATATCTGCTCAGCCACTTTGTAGACTATAAACATTACCAAAAAAATGGACAACTAATTTACGAATACAGTATTTCACTAGAAAATGTGCTTTCCTGTTCTTCCACAGAGTACCTTAGTGCAAAACAAGAGGAAAAAAAATCACTCAAAAATAGTAAAACAGTTAATTATTAAAAACTTACATGAAGGATTAAAATAATTGTCAACACAAAGTGGGAATGTTTCTGTCGCTATCAAGCAGATATGTATGTAAAATTTCCTGGAGAATACTTAAGTAACAGCCCTATTTTTTACAGTGTGTTTGTGTTTGTGTGTGTGTGTGTGTGTGTGTGTGTGTGTTGCACTTTTCCCCCTTTAGGTGGTTCAATTATTTGGAATTAATGAACAGAGTTGAGAACTAGGGACAACCAAAATCTGCAAACTAGATATCTCAACAAGAAAGAGTATGGGCGAGGGTGCAGTGCACAGGGTAGGAAAGATCCAAAAATAGTGTATGAAAGTAATTCTATTACACTATATGTCTTTTAAAGATAACATTTTCAAACCGCATAAGAGACATGAAATAGCACTCAGTTATCCTCCAAGTATTCCAACAGTTTTGAATTTGTTACATCACATTCCATTAACCTCCTGTGCCATGTTCAGGAACAACGAAGCCTATTTATTTATTTAGTCTACACTTGACCTGTAGGACAATCGAGGACTACAAGTACATCCAGGCCTTTAGCTTAAAGAGGAATGAATGACGGAACTATACAGATGTCTCAAAAGCTTCTTGTCAGGATGGTGTTGTAGCAAGAGTTTGATGGATTGTACCTGTAGAGGAATCCAAAGGAAGCCAGGGAAGGTGGAAGACATAGTATAAAGATTTTTTTCTAGAAAAAAATACAATTTGCCTGATTCCTGTATTCCTAGATAAATTGGAGAAATTGTTTTGATAGTAACTTTTAGGTGTGGTGCCTCTAAATGAATTAATGTGGTACACAGAGATGGCATGCATGATCTTTGGGATTGGAAAAAATTTACCCAGGGCACAAAAGGAAGTCAATTATTTACTCAAGGATAGACTTCATCTACCTCTTGTAGATGTTCCTAAATAGAGTCCAAAGTTTATTTAAGAGAGGAGAATCTTAGAATGTGATAGAGGATCACAAAGCTAACTTCAGAATTATCTAGAATAGCAATGGTATGGAATGGCTTAAATGAATGGAAGTGAAAGACCTAAAAAAGGAGAAGGAGAGGAGCTGAAGTGGAGAGCACTCTTTTCTATCCCAAGTAGTCCCAAATTTCCTCTTAGGTCTAATTCATGGGAAAGAAAGGAGTTGTCTAATATACCTCAACTAGAACTGAAGCAAGAATGCAGAGAATTCCGCTGTCTCAAAAGTATGTCAGAGATAAGAATCATTTATTCTTGCTCTCCCAAAAGACGTGATCAATTTGTTTCCATAGAAATATATTTGTGTAAATAGATATTTACTTTGAGAGTAAGAAACTGGGAAGTCTATTGCAGATGAAAGTAATAATTGAGAAACAAAATTAAATTTGCCAGATTCTTGAAGTCTCTAGCAAGTGCTTTACAAAAATAATTGCACAGAGTCTTTGCCCTGTGTTCAGAGCACTTTATGTATACCCCTATTAAAACAATATGTGCCACCCCAGCTAGACTCTCAACTCCCCAAGGAGAAGAGCAAGGTATAATTTATGTCTGTATATGTAATGCCCAGCACAACAATCCTTGGAGTAGAGGGCATCCATTGTATACTTCTTGAATGAAATAGAAAGAAGAGAACAACTTTTTTTTTTTTCAGTTTGCTCCTGTTACACCGGGCACATTTCTGACAAAAGGAAGAAATCAGGTTAGTACCACTTCCGTTATTACTAAAGAGAAAAAAAGATCATTTTAAAACATCAGCTGCAGGATTCTTAAAATAAATCACCCTTGTGTTTTGGAGAGTGAATAGAAGAGGCTAAGCTATTCATAAAAATATACATAGAGAAACACACAATGTCTATTTCTTTAGATGGATTCTCTTAGAAACCGTGAGAAACTTGCCCTCTACGCATAGTGAATGATATAGTCAGTCTTTTTTGGTAAGCAAATGTACTGTTGCTTAAATAAATAAATATGTTTGGTGGAAATAATATCAATGGAACAGCCCCCTTAGAATGTGAAATTGCACAGGTATTTTTGGTTTTAGTGTAAAGTAACTATATTCCATGAAATATTTCTATAAACAGCAGCTACCAAAGACTGAGTGTGGAACCAGAGGAGGCTATGGAGGTCTGGTAGCCACATGGTGCTGTCAGGAAATGAATATGGCAGTGGAACAGGGGTGGGAGGTAAAGAAGGATTAGAATGCAAAGTCTAGTTTTAGATTATAGTTGCCTGAAGATTGAAATACTCACAAAATTACATAATTACAGATAATGAAACAGATCGTGGTTCCAGAAAAGACAGAGAGGTACAGTTAGCATTTATTCCTAATTGTGAAGTGTGTTTTTGTTTAGAAGAGTGTGTTTTCGGACACATCCAGTGAAAGTCATAGTGTTTTCTGGGGTTGTGAAGAAATCCAGTCTTGTATAATAATTCTGATTCGGCACTGAGACTATTTATAGCAGTGTTGTGCAGACTGTACTTTCTGGGTATCCATCTGCCTTTTGGCCTGGGTACCCAGAGCTCTTCTATACACAGTCCATACGTGGGGGCGGGGGCCAGTAATTTGTGGTGTCCACGTGGCCAGGACAGAGCTTCACAAATTCTCCAACCTATACAACTATCTACAAGCATATATAAGTCCATGAAAAGTTCAGATAGGATGAGTTGACCTTTACTAGTCCTCCACATCGGCAAAATATGGGACATGCTTCTCAGAGATTTGAATAAGGGAGAGTTTCAGCATTATTGCTTATACTTTCCTTTTCCTTTCCATTTTTCTTTTGGAGATGCTTCGGGCTAAACTCACTGCACTTTGTGGTGACTTTTATTTCAGGTGACAAAGGAATATGTAGCCAAGCAAAAGCCTGATTTATACAACCTTTTTATAGAAATAAAAAATTCAAAAGTGAGAACTGGAGAAAGAGGAAGAAAGGGCGGCGGAATGCAGTATTTAAAGATCTATCCTTTTATTCGGTTATCATTCGTCTTATTAAAGCTAATTTTTAAAAAACATATATTCTTGTTTAAAATCACTGTAAAATAAATTTACTAGGAAAATGATGATTATATATTAACTGATGAGATGACTAAAAATCCAAAGAAAATTGTAAGGAAAGACTGTTTGTAGAACAATGTCTTAAAGTCGAGACATGATTATAAACTCAACCCTCCTTCATAAGCTTTGAAACTGGAAGAAAAGCTGGGGGATTGGTATGGAATGAAGCTAATCACGTGCTCCTTGTGTGCTTCCTAACACAAGAGGAGTGCTAAGGAATGAGAGGCAAAGGACACAGAACAAGATGGACCGTCTGCTGTCAAGGCTGGCCAAAGCTAAGGTGGTAATTGTTTTGCAAATCAAATTCACCTAAAAAGAATCAGTAAGTATTTTCTTCAACTCTGAATCATTCTACTGGCATTGCTAGGACCCTGGAGCATTGATATCCTTTATCCCTTATCTTTCTCCAAGGTAGTCCAGGGGCAAAGAGTTAGGCATATTGCTACAGCAAAATCATCAGAATTCTTACTATCAAAACCCAGAGATAGTCTCAGGATGACTTCCCAAAGGGATGAATTCCATACTTTGTCACTAAAAGGGGCAAAGAGCCTGAAATTTGTTGCTGCCTCATCTGGGAATATAAGTCTGCAGAAAAATATGTGTAAGTGGAGGCTTTTTCAATGTATAGAATGCAGCAGATTTCAAAATGGGGTGTGCTACAGAACCTAAGGGATCCTCTGAAATCAATCACTGGGTCAGCTGGAGGTGACTACAATGCCACATGGGTCAGTATGTCCGAAACCTCCTAGAAACAGTTCAGTGGACAGAGATGGATTCATTATAACTGTTCCAAAATGTAAAACCTGCAAACTGACTTTCAGTTTCTCCACCAGGTCTTTCAAGAGTAGATGGAAAGGAAGAATTCTGCCTAATATTTCAGTTCTTTCATGCAGTTTTTTCCATATATATATTTATTTAAAGCTGAGTTAAGATGGTTTAAGCTTTTTCATGGAACCAGGTACTATTTTAGACTTTTATTTGAATTTCTTTATGCTGCAGCAAATTACATATATATGTGTGTAGATACATATTTTTTACCTCAATATAATAATCCCAGGAATAACCTAGCTAACATGTCTTACAAAATTGGAGGATATCATTTTTTGAAGTTATGGAACATCTACTTCCTAGCAACTTTCTTTTTACCTCCTAATTTCAAGCAACTATTTCCATGCTTCCTCTAGGTTTATGCTATTGTGTGCTGTTTCTAAAGTTTTGGCCCCAGGAGACAGTGATAAGAAAGGAGCAAAGTAATTGCTCACTACTATCAGCAATTCTATTTGAAAATACTCAGGGGATAAGAGTCATAGCCAAAAAGGGCGATGAGTTAGGGCAAGGGGCCTAGGGAAATTAAATTAACGCAAGTTGTTCTTGTTCCTTGTAAAATGCCACCGATGCAAACCAGGCCTGAAGGATCTCTCTGCCCTGGCTTCCCTGGTAGAGATGAACTGGGAATGGGAGAGGATGTCAAGGATGACCATTAGATGCCTAAGTCACAGAGCTCAAGTTCAAGGTAAGCCTGCCAGAATATGAGTCTGCAAAACTAAAAAGTGCATTTTAGAAAGTGGAACACAAAGCTGATTGTGTGTGTGTGTGTGCACATGTGTCTCTTCCTTGTCTAGAACAGTAAAGTCAGTGTCTTGAGTGGTCATTTTCACCACGATACAGGTGTCAGACAGGAAGGCAGTAGCTGTAGCTGCCTAGTCTCCTGAGCTGGGTCAAAGGGATTGATGTTGTGGTAGATGCAGGTTATGTTCCAAAAAAGGAATGGCAAACATTTAAGAGAGAAGGACCAAAATTAAAAGACAAAAGAGAGAAAAGAAGGAGAAAAAATTAACAAGTAACCACAGAAATGAGTATCAGGTGACCCTGTAGTTTTTTTCAGATGAAATATTCCCGTTTACACTCGCTGACTGTGTTTTGCAAGTCAATATCATTTCTGAAGGAACTGTCCAAATTCTCTGGATATTCCTTCTCCTTCATCTGGTTAGTGCGATGTGACTGCTTATGCTGGTAAAGGAGGCGGGTCATGATGCCGATGATGCAGAAGGTGATGAATATCACCACTGCTATTACTCCTGTGGGGAAAGGAAGATGGAAAGAAGAAGAAAATTACCACAGATCATCTGGTCCAGAGACGATTCAACATAGACAGGGATGCACTTCAGAGAAAACAACACAAAACAAATACACAAACCAAACTCTACCAAAAGCCCAGAAATAAAGACCTGCTACATGACTTTAGTCTTCAATTACTATAAAACCACCTTCTTCCACACTAGGGAGGGAGAAAGTCAGTTTAAGTCACAGAAAGTTTTATTTCATGGTCTAAGAATGCTACCTTATAAAGATAGAATGAGAATAGCAAAGGATTTCTTCATATATTTTTTTCAAGATCTGCTTAAATAATGTGTCCAAATCATTTGTAATTAGCATATTTCATTGTCACCCGTACCTAAGGCTTCTAGAATTACTTGAACATCCTAGAAAACAATGCTTAAATATCTTACATCCTGACACATGCTGATATATTTTTGTTTTATGTTATGTTTGTTTGATAAAACTTTCATTAATAATAAATACTTACTAATGACTTAGGGCATTTCTACACTGATGGTCACTCTGCTAACTCAGACAAGGAACATAGCTGTTCCTGTAAAATTTATAGTTAACTGAGATGGTAAACTTCAGCCCAGTTCTGTTAATTCAACCTTTCCTTTGATTGTATGTAGTAGTTCTGGATCTATTTTGCAAGTTGTCCTCATTGACCTTAATATCTTGTACCTACCTTTGCTAGAAAATTTTCTGGGACTTAAAAGACAGTCCAAATAAAACTGGTAAAATGTTGGTGGGAGAATATGTCTCTACACAAGTACAGGTTTTATACCATTGAAACCATTCAAAATACTATTGATAATCAAAGATATTCCATTATTAATAATTTTATATTCTGGTTAAATTTTTTCTAAGTAGCATAAATATTGATAAAAAATGTTTACATTAGAAATTTGCTGTTGGGGGCTGAGGATGTGGCTCAAGCGGTAGCGTGCTCTCCTGGCATGCATGTGGCTCTGGGTTTGATCCTCAGCACCACATACAAATAAAGATGTTGTGTCTGCTGAAAACTAAAAAATAAATATTAAAAATTCTCTCTCTCTCTCTCTCTCTCTCTCTCTCTCTCTCTCTCTCTCTCTCTTA